GCCATCTTTCTCCACAAGACTTTCTTTGGGGAAAGGGGAACGCGTTTTAATGCCCCATTTTCTTGACTGTGAACTCAGTCACCTGAGAAACCTAGCCTTTGGGGAGCCCATCAGTGAACATGGCTGATTCCTCAGGAGACCACCAGGCCTCAGCGTGGACTCAAACCTCCAACCTTTGCTTTAGCAGCTGACTGCGCTGTTTGTACCACCAAGGGACCCCACGCATGCTGCAGGGATTGGAAAATGAAGAGAGGAACGCATGGCTAATTGCAAATGAACCTGTTAAAATGGGCTTCTTGGTCTCCATTTGTCTTCTTATCCCAAGCTGGGAAATAAATTCCCATCACTTCTAATTCATCTAATTAAATGAAAGCTTCAGAGCACCATGGAGCAAAAAGGATGACGGCATAAAATGGACTTTAAGTAAATGAACTATTACAAGGCAAGACGTGTGTAGGTTCTGATTGTGGATGCTGTCTGCTTATTAAACACATACTTGTTACCTGCCAGTGTCTTTTATAACAAACGTCCACCAAGTAGTAACAGCTGCTCCCTCGGCTCTCACCTGCCCCTCCTGGATTCTGCTTGCCTGGCTGGCTGTCTGCTCCTGGGCTGGTCTCCCAAACCAGTCCCTGGAGTCAGCTGGAACAGGGCCCGCCCTGAAGGATACACGGGCTTGCAGCTGAACCACCCCCTCTCCTGTGACTGCTTGCGCCCCACCTCCCTCCCAAGGAAATGGCTCTGCAGCACCCCCTTCCGTTCCCTCAGAGCAACAGCCTTGCTGCTTCCTCCCCGCAGGTCCTAGCCGAGGAGGCTGTCTGGAGCATCCGAATTATGGTTCTGCTTCCGCGCACTGCGCAGCCCAAGGAGCCCTGTAGAAAGTGCTGGTTTTGTCTGCTCCCAGAGAATGAAACAGGGGGGAGCCCCCTTGATCCCCAAACCACGCAGAACCAGCAATGGGCTGGGAATACACAGGACGTTCCACGTAACAGCACAAAGGTGATTGCCAGGCAAGGGGCCAAGGGAACCGGCTTCAAGTACGAAGGCCGCTCTCATTTTTCTAAGTTTGAGCCTGAAGGCAGAGGGTGAAATAGCTTTGATTTCTTGCCACCCAACAGGACAGTTGAGTGTTGTCTGTCGTTCTCCCCACCTCCTTCCCACGTGAGAAATGCGTTGAAGGCCAGGGAGATCCACCCTGCTCTCTGTGGGGCCCCGTGACCCGTTGGACAGAGAGGAGCGAGGGTGGTACTTCACCAGGATGCCCCTCAAACTTCACTCGAGGCACAAGTCGGACAGCTCATGGTCATGGACATTTCTGCCGCAGTGGTCTGGGGAGCTCCCGGTGTGGCTGGTGTGGTCACGGTGTGAGTATCTGTCTTTCTTCGAGTGCTGACAGACAGCCTGCTCTGCCTGGTGAAGGTCCTGTGCTCAACATTAGCACGGTGGGGGAGAGGAAACCCAAAATGTAACATTGAACTTGGAAAGTGAACCTGACACAGATGAACGAGGGCCGGCCCAGGCAGGTCATGGGGAACGCAGGCAGGCCTGGGAGGCCCCGTGGGCTCAGTTCTAGACCAGTGAGAAAGTGAGCCTTGCGTACATTTCGGTTCCCCACTGCATACAAAAGCCGTGTCCGCTAGGCTACAGTCGATTAAGTGTGCCACAGCACGACGAGGAAGCTGGAAATACTGGGAGAATGACCGAAATGTGACGCTGAGTAAGCGCTGTTGGGAAAATGGTGCTGAAACAAACGTTCAAGTTGTAAAACCACCAACAAAGAACTATTTGCGAAGCACATAACCAGGTGCCGTAAGATAAGCCATGCCAGGAGTACAGCAAAATCATTCTGGGATTGAGAACAACAGCTGCGTTGCTTGGTAACCTTTGAAGCATTACGCCCACTAGGCTTGAGCTGAGCTCTCTAAGCTGTCCACGTAAGTGACTGGACCCCGGTGGTGCAGTGGCCACGTGTTGGCCTGCTAACCACGAAGCAGCAGTTCAAAACCACTAGCCGCTCCGTGGGACAAAGATGCGGCTTCGTCTACTTCCATAAGCAGTGACAGTCTCAGAACCCCAGGGGCAGCTCTCCTCTCTCCTAGAAGGTGGCTGTGAGCCAGCATCCACTCGCTGGCAGTAGTTTGTTTGTTTTGTTTTGAACACTTCAGCAACACAAACATTGGGAGCTGTAGTCGTTCAGGGGATGGGAGTGCTACATGATTATCTAGGTGCGGGGGTGCCCAGGGGTGGCAGCCCATTTGTCCTCTCCCAAGCCAGCATGAGCAGTGTGCCCGGTGCTCTCTGCAGCCCTCAGGTGGTGGGTTGGGCCTCAGCCACCTCATCCACCCTGATCCTGTGCACTTGGCTGTACTGGCTATAGGTGGCTGGCCCTGGCGAATGCCTGCAGGCATGGCTCACGGCCACCAAAGCAAGGCTGCCCGGTTCCTGAGGAACCTCTGTGAGAACTTCTCCTCAGGGGACTGTCACCCCACTCGGCTTCTAGCTCCTGCTGATGTCCGCCTGGCACCTGCCCATAGGTCCTTCCCTTCCACAGCCCGAGTGAGTGGTGGCTTCCTTCATCAAGGTCCTCCTGCCTGTCTCCCAGTCTAGGGTTGATAAGGCACAGCACCGTGCACACAGGTAGCACCTGAGAGATTGCAGAAGGTACCCCAGCAGTATGCTTCTACTAGCAACAGCCAGTTGGGCTGTCAAAGAACGGCAGCCTCATCCATGAACAAGAGAACATTTTTTTGGCCTCTTGCCATAACCTGGGGAAAGCGGGCCAGCTGGACTCAGCCAGGTCCCTCAGTGCTGCTGTCGGCCAGCTTCCTCAGGTCTTATCCAGGCTGCAGCACCCTCCATAGCAAGTACCAAATCTGACTAATTATTATGTGCTGTGCGCTTTGCGTAAAACACAATAGAGTTTCAGAGCTGGGATGGAGCTCACCCAGCTGGGGCGGGGTGGGTGGGGTGGGTGGTGGGCAACCATCTCACTGGCAGGGGTTAGTTCCAAGCTGTGCATTCAGATGAAGGCATCAAGATCGGGGCTCCCATTTGTACTTACAAGATTCTAGAAGCTTTTTCATGTAGAGAGATTTGAGAAAGTGCATGAAAGAACTAAGGGTCTGTCTTGCGCACAGCTTTCAGAGTAGGACAGAAATTCATTGAGAACTAATCAATACACTCTGTGCTGCACTTGCTCTTGTGGCGTAGTGGTTGTGGTCTCAGGCTGCTAATAGCTAGGTCAGCAGTTCAAAACCACCAGCCACTCCTGAAAGGAACGATGGGACTTTCTACTCCAGTAAAGCGTTACAGTCTTGTAAACTCACAGGGGCAGTTCTGCCCTGCCCTACAGGGTCCCTGTGAGGAGGGATTGGCTCCACTGCAGTCCGTCTGTTTGGCTTTGAGATGCTGCATATGCTGCAGACAAAAGCTAGTGGCCCTTCCTGGACCAACTTCCTCTCGGCCTTTTTCCTTTTCATCCTAAGAGCGTCATTTAGCCACGGAGGTATGTGAGACCCACCCATGGTGCTTGGACATATTTCAATTCCTTACACTAGCCCTCGGGATAGAAATGCACATTCCTATTTTATGGATAAGCAAACAGAGGCTCGCAGCGATTAAGTAACTTCCCCCTCCTCTCCCTGTTCTCTGGGAAGTGAGATGATGTCTTTCTGAGTCTGAGGGAATCTGCTTCCCACTTCAAGCTGGGGATACCAGTTTACATCCCTATTTTAAAAACAGCAGCTTCTGTTAAAGTCAGGTCAGCCAGGGAAGAGCCCATCCCTCTGCCTCTCTGCCAGAAACTTCCCCCTGCCAGAATCTTCCCCCTGCCCGGACCTATGGGAGGAAGAACAAGGCAAGCAAGAGATCTACCTGCAGAACTCTCCTTCTGCTTCTGGCAGCATCAGCGAGGCCATGGGGTTCTTCTTGAGGTCGGCCACAGTGGGGTCCTTGGGAGTCAGGTAGAAGAAAGGACTCCCAGTGCTGTTGTTGACGGGGCCATCGCTGACGGGCAGGCAGTTCCCAAAGGGCAGTCCCCACATCTACGGAACACCAAAGAAGAACTGTCAGTGTAGACGCGGGAGCTGAGTTCTGCTGAGAGCTGAGCTTGCATCCCCAGCCAAGAAATATAACACCAGGGATGTCAGGACGTGTCACACTATACTCATGCCGTTAAATCTAATGTTTTCTCTCTCTTTTTTGGGGGGGAGGGAGTGGGGAGGAAGGAAGCACAATGGAATTGGCGGGGAGTTTTAAGGCTTCTTGTATAAGCACCATTAAACACCAACTGCCTTCATTGTTTTCCCAACAATTTTTGGCAATTTCCAGAACAATGGAAGTCTTCAACATATTACCTGTTTCTCTGATATGAGAAACTTTCTATTAATGTTAGTTTTAAAGTCACATCTTTTCCTTTACTTCTTGTTTTGTTTTTCAGTTGTAATCAATAATGTACCATATTAGGTCTCCACAAGCCATGGGGAATTGATTTGTTACATCCTTAGTTTAAAGGAAGTCATAGCAACATGAAATAGCCTTGCATGCACACATACATGATCCCCACGATCATCCAGTACGGTGGTAAAGTTCTCAGCTATATAAAGATATTTAATGGAAATGACCTAAATTGCCCATCAATGAAAGAATAGATAAATAAATTTTGGCACATACGCACAACGGAATACTACACAACACTGCAACAACAACAACCCAAAACCCAACAACGATGGATGGGCAAAGCATCTCTTAACATGGGTGAACCTGGAGAACATTACATGAGTGAAATAAGACAATCACAAAAGAGCAACTACTGGAAAAGACCTTTCTTGTAAAATATTAAGAGATGTTTTTTCACACCAAAAGACATGTTAATTGATGGTTAACAGGGATGGGAGAGGAAGAGTGGGCAAGTGTTGGGCCAGAGGGTAGAGAAGTCTTGACTTGTGTGAAGGGGGAAGTAAGTAAGAGGGCGTGGGATTAAGTCTTAGGTTTCCCAAACCCTGTTGCCTAATTGGAAGGCTCCAATCTTCCATGAGTTTTTCCTCTTACAGAAATGGCTCCTCCTGATGGTGGGGCAGGAGAAAGGTGTGGCAGTGACATAATCTCCTGTCAACTTGAGTGAAGGGGTGGAGTCTAGTCTGTCAATCAGGCCATAGCCAGTGAGGCCTCTGTGTGGGCATGGCCTTCTCCTGAGGATTCTGGGAGCTCCTATCTTTCTCCTTGGAAGTGGGACACACTCTCTGCTTGACATTTCTGTGGACAAGCCACATGGAGCTTCACTGATTGTGAGAGCCCTGGACGAGGCAGAGCCACACGAGACCCACACCAGCCCTGAGATGCTTCCACTGCCACTGGGTCTACAAGACTTTTCACCCACTGGCCTGTGATCTTCCTGCATTCAGCATCATTGCATGAGTCTGAAGAGGAATTTATAGACTGCTATTGGACATATGGGCTAATGTAGGATTTATGGACTTGATCTGGACTGGGCTGGGATGTTTTCTTAATATACAGTTGCTCTTTGATATAAAGTTCTCTCTTACACACATATGAGTGTCTATGAATTTGTTTCTCTAATCAACCCAGACTAACACAGAAGGTAAAAGGAAACAGAGGAAAGATCTAGAAAGCAAAGCTGTGGATAGTGGTATAAACAGGTGTGTACATATGTAAATATATTAATTCATAAAAATAGAGGTATTGGCCTATGTACATATATTTATATGGCAATACATTGAGGAAGTGGACAGACTTTGGGCCTCTGCTCAAGCCCTCTCTCAATGCAAGAAGACTTTGTTCTAACAATCTTACATTCTGTGATGCTCACCCTCCCAACACAATCGCTGAAGACAAAATGGGTGCACAAGCAAATGTGGTAAAGAAAGCTGATGGTGCCCGGCTATCAAAGATATAGTGTTTGGAGTCTTAAAGGCTTGAAGTTAAACAAGCAGTCATCTAACAGAGAAGCAACAAGCCCACATGGAAGAAGCACACCAGCCTGTGCAGTCATGAGGTGTCTACAGGGTCAGGTAACAGGCATCAGAAGACCCAAAACAACAACAACAACAACAACAACAAATATTGCTGGGAACGAAGGGGGTCAGAGCAGAGACCCCAAATCCATCTGCAGACAATAGCATATCCTCTCACAGAAGGGTCACAATGAAGGGATGAGTCCAGCAGGGAGCAGTATAGCACCGACGAAACACAATATTCTTCTGGTTCTTCAATGCTTCCCCACTCCCCACTATCATGACCTCAGTCCTGCCTTTCAGTTCTGGCTAGACTGAAACATGTATACTAGTACAGACAAGAGCTCAGGACACTCGGGATCCAGGTCAGATAAACCCCTCAGGAATAGAAATGGGAGTAGCGATACTAGGAAGGTAGAGGGTAGGTGGCAGGAGGAGGGGAGATGAGGGTACCGATTTCAATGACTGACACATAAATCGCTACCCCCCCAGGGGGATGAACAACAGAAACAAAGGTGAAGGGAGACAGCAGTCGGTGTAAGATATGAAAATTTAAAAATTTTTAAAAAGATATGAAAATAATAATTTATAATTTATCAAGGGGTCACAAGGGTGGGGGTGAGGTGAAAAGGAGGAGCTGATATCAAGGGCTCAAATAGAAAGTAAATGTTCAGAAAATGAACATGGCAACATATGTACAAATATACTTGATACAATTGATGTATGGATTGTTATAAGAGCTGTGAGAGCCCCCAATGAAATGATCTTTAAAAAAAGAAAAGAAATGGCTCCTAGTTGCTTTGCTCAGAAGAGACCTCACCATGTAGTGGGATATATGTTGTATGCCTCACTGCAAGATCAGCAGTTCAAAACCACCAGTTGCTACATGGGAGAAAGAGGAGGCTTTTTGCTCCCATAAAGATTTGGTTCCACTCTGTCTGAGTCGGACTCAACGCGTTAGCATTGAGTTTGGTTTTGGGGTTTTTACTTAGCTCAGAACTCAAGGGCTGCCTTTGTCTTTGACCTAAGTGCTGACAATTGTGATAAGGAAGGACTTTAAATTAAACTTACATATACATTTATATGATAAGAAAACAAAATGTTGCGGATACCCCCAGAATGGTAGCATAACTTCCTCCATAGGTCCTGTTTTTCAATGCATCAGCAACCGTCCAGAATCACGCTCTGCACATAAAGCAGGCAATGGCAATTGTTTTCCGAATTTATTGAATTTAGACTATCTTTTGGAAAGAGACACTTATAAGAAAGGCAATGAAAATGAAACCAGAGGTTAAATGCACGTCTTTGATTCATTTGAAAAAAAAACTGCTTGAAAGGACTAATGTTTTAACCCAAGGCATTTAAACGTTGTCTTCTTAAAGTGTCCTGGGAGCACCAGATGTAACAGTGAAAACCCATTCAGATGCTGTGAATATCCAACTGATGTAGAAGAGGTTAAGATCATTGACATGCCAGGATAAAGTTGTCACCTAGATAATTTTTAAGCCATACAAGGGAAAAAAAAGGTGTGTGTGTGTGTGTGTGTGTGTGTGTGTGTGTGTGTAGAATCCAAAAGGATCTAGTCAACCAAGGAAAGTGAAATGGAGAGTCACGTCTCAGAGCTGGCGAGCCTCAGAGCTGGGCTCCAGCCGGCGCCCTGGTCAGTAACAGCCTATACAGTCTACAAATGATTATTATTTGCACCAAATAGGCAGCAGTTGAAGCTTCCGCCTTGCAATGAAGCCCTTGCATCCAGCTCGCAAGCCCAGAAGCTTTGGCGAACATGGACTGTGCTTCTACGGGGGCTGCAGCCTCATGGCTTCCTGTGTCATTTCAGCTCAGGTGCGAACCATGTCTAACAGGTGAGTCAAACATGTGTGAACTTCACAGTAAAAATTACAGCGATGACAGCTCATTCCAGCGTGCCACACACCTTCCACCATGCCCCCTTTTTTCCAGAAAAAAACCCTGCCTGTCATTTTTAGCCGTATCAATTTCTTCCCGGGCTCTAGCGGTGATACCTCTGCCTCCTGGTGCCCACAGGCAGGGGGTACGTTCGTGGGTGGCTGGGCAGT